CAGTCATATATCTAATTTATGCAACACATGATGACACACAACTCAAATCATCTATTTACTTCTTATTTCTGATTACCATAGTTTTACACCCCTAAATGTGTTGTGTTAACCAAGATAATAGAGCGTGTTAATTGTCCTGTGACAAAATAATCCATTGAGTATAAATATATTGTATAATGTTTTTTAGACCTAGCTTTTTCATCAAGGATGAACAATATATTCCTTCAACTTCTTTTCCCATGTTGAGTAATTCTGTTTTACACTGAGGGGATAATATCATCCACGCTGGCTGGTGTTTTCCTCATTCTAATGCACTGGTTTCTTTAACACACACTCAGTTAGGTGTGGTTGGCATATCAGCTCTACCTCCTGGGCTATAAAACACACTGACTGAGATTGTCCTTGCAAAGACAAATGCAACACCGTTTTGCTTTCTTGACCAAACCAGTCGGCAAATTGTCTGTTTTCAATTAGTTTATGTTTACCTTCAAAGGTTGAGTGAATATTTTCAACATACTTTGATAATGGGGCAAATACAGTATATGGATATTTCTTTAAACAAATCCAACTATGTTTATTTTTGATGCATCACGTTAGACAAAAAACACGTGCGGAAAAAAAAACGCAATTGTGTTGTCTGTCCAATTTATATTGTATTATTTCAGATAACAATATCCAATATGATTAGATTATGTCAGTTATTTAGCTAAAGTAGAGCTGAAAAACATTATGTAAAAAATGATAAACCTTTTTTGGTTCTTGCTTCCCCCGTGTGAGAATGTAAAGCTTTTCTTAGTATTATATTGTTGCCGACTGAATATCTTTTAGACTGTTGTGCGCTTTTGGTTGAACAAAACAACAAAACCAACATTTTAATAGTAATATTAGACTTTTAGCTTCACTCCAGAAACAAAAAAACTGAATCCAATACAATTACAGTTAAATAAGAACAGAAAAGTAGGAATAAACTAAGAGAGACTATACAATAAGATAATAAACAATAACATTTACTATTAAACACACACCAGAAATAATTAATTAAAGCTTATTAAAATAAAAAAACAGGAAATGAAAGAGAGCCAAATATGACTCTTAGATTTCCAGTGAATTAAATGCTGAATTGTTTTATTGCGGGTATGACTTCCGTGTGACCCAGTTCTGTCGTGATTCTCTCCAGGAGTATATCTGTCCGAGATGCGACTCAGGGTTCATAGAGGAAGTAACAGAAGACTCAAGGTGAGACATTTATTATTCCACGCATCTACCTCACTTCTCCAGACAACACTTAGTGTTCTCTTCTTATTCACATGAACCATATTTTCTGTAGAAGCTTGTAGGCTAGCCATACAGCTTTGTCCCAGACATCACTAAACCTGAACATGTGTTAGGGTTCAGTGGACGTTTCTAATAATGTGTTTCTTTTGCGCATTTCCCCTCAGCCTCCTAGAGGGTGGCGCTAACGGGATAGATGACGCAGCCACACAATTTGCAGAGGTACAAGCTGACCTGAGGGATTTTGGGGGGGAATAGGGTGGGAGAAGATTGATTGCAATAATTGTTTACCTTTTTAATTAACTTTGTCTTTCCCTACCCTCTCCTCCCCTTCCTGTCCTTTTTGCTACTGCATGTTTATGTACTCTCTTTCCCTATTGTGCTGCCTGCTTTCCTATCCCTAACCCCCTTTCTGTCCTTCTCCGGACCCTTCCCTGTCCAATCCCCCCCTCCCTGTAGCTATGGCACCTGTTGTTACTGGAGCGGCCATTTACACTAGACGCTGACACACCGGACTCAGAACCCCGGCTCCCTGGAGGGCGTTTGGGGGGTCTGAGTGAGCTGGGGGGGTTGGGAGGGGGACCAATCGGGGGGTCAGTCCCAGCAGGCCTTGGGGGACCTATGGGGAGTCTATTAGGGGCCGGGGATCACTGGGGACCGGGACGCCCGCCTCGCCTACACAGCCAGAGGAGATACCGCTCCAGAGGCAGCAGCAGACCAGACCGCTCTCCTGCTGTGGAGGGGTGAGTAACTCACACCCCACCACGCATACTCCCACTTAGAATCATTAAATAATAACTATGCTATTACAAACTTTTCTCCTCAGATTTTTGGTGAAGTCATTTTTATATTTTCTGTCTGTTCATTAGGATTGTACAACAGTTTCTCGCCGGTCTCTTTGCCAACTCTGGAGTCCCCGGCTCACCTCCCCTCTCTTGGTAAGATGACATTACAGCAGCGTCACAGTGTTAGCATCACAGTGTTAGCATCAAGTGTTAGCATTATTTCTTATCAACTTGTCTGTCTCCAGCATCCCCGTCCTGAGAGAGACAGACAAGTTGATAAGAAATAATGCTAACACTTGATGCTAACACTGTGATGCTAACACTGTGACGCTGCTGTAATGTCATCTTACCAAGAGAGGGGNATGTAGCTAACGCCGGTCACTCACCAAGACAGCTGCTCTGTTCTCCACTGGTTCTCCACACACCAAAGCTCCATTTCTCTCCGATGGCCGTTATTTTTTCTAATCCTTGGCTGCTCCTGTCTCTTGGACGCCTAGCAGGCTCATAATTATAATCATATGCATTCGAATATATATTTTCAACCTCTTCTGTGTCAAAACTAGCATTGTGATCCATGTTTATTCATACGTTAGACCGGCCGCTCTCCCCCATGTTACGTCACACGCAGGAGGTCACGTGCTGAGGTTTTTTTATGCGGAAGTGAAAATGTCTTACTAAAACGACGCCAGATGTCACTATCGTGTATATTTCTGTATATTTTTTGGAAAATCTAGCGTATTCATCATTTTCCTACACATTTATTCACTGGTGTCTCTAACCTGCAAGTTGCTCTTTAACACCTCAAGAGACACATTTTCCCCTCAGGAGGAGGAAAGGATTAAACAGTGAATGTTTTAGGTGGACACAATATGGGTGTGTAGGTAGATAGGTATTATTTGTGTGAACAGATTAATAATCTGTGTGTAAAAGTGTAATCTGTAAATGTTAATCCCCACAAATACAAAAACATTTTGGGAAATTTACAAAAATGTTTTTGTAAATATAAAAAGGATCTGCAAATATGCAAAAAAATTCTACAAATAAAAAGAATATCTGTGAATACTATACTTCATTTACATATACAAGAAACGCAATGTCTGAATGTGAATATCTTGCTAACATTTACAACTATCGATCAGGCATTTGTTGTATTTGTGGATATTAATTCTCTGTTTGTTTATCGGCTTTTACAAACACACAGTTTTGAGACAAACTTTCCGCCGGTTGGAGCAAAAATCTACTCGTGTCACTTGGACAGTATGGTTAATAAAGGCCACACATCAAACATTAATGTTAATTAATTTAACATAATTGTGGTCTCTGGTATTAGAGTCAGACACACCACAACCAACCAACCACCAAAGTTAAAAAGTCTAACTTTAGACATCTCTACATGAAGCAGACACTACTTCCTGTTTGGGACTTAACATTGGCACACGATGCAAATTATGAGATGAAGAATCCTCCAGGATGGACTGAATTGTAGGATATGGATGATATACTCATTCTCCTCTTCCCTGTTCCTCTTCTTCGGCCATTTTGTTCTCTTTCATACACTTTGCCCTCTCCTCTTTGTTTTCTACCATACCTCTTTGTCTGTGTTCTTTCCCCCCTTTTGTTACATTCCCTTCTATTTCTCTTTGTATCATGTCTCACTGTGCTCCACCATCATCATCTGGTGCCCTGACTCTGTGGTAATACCCACCATCATGTTGGGTACCACTGACCATCATTACAGTCAGTAACAGTAAATCCTCGGGGGGGGGGTGAGGTCAGTGTGTGTTATCACAGAGTGAACATCATGAAATGGCTTCCTGCCTCCCTGCTGTATGTTTCATGTGAATATTAAACCATCACCAAGTCTTCATTACCACCATCGCGAGGAAGATGTAGAATAAATCCAATATATTTAAGATGTTTTCTACCTCACTAACATTTTGGATGAATTTCATTTGTGTGTTTTTGTTCCTCTGGGCGTCCGAATGGGTTTAATAACCTTCATACAGTATAACTATGATGATAAAACAAATCAATATTACTATAACTGAAGGCTGTTGTGTCTCAGTACAGTAAACAGATATATTTGTTTAAATGTTGCTGTTGGTTTGGTTCTCATCAATCAATATTTGTCATTTTTACATTGCTTTTATTCAGACTATTTTATACTAATCTGTCTATATAACTGCTGTGAAGCACTTTGGGCTGTAATTCTTGTTTAAATGGTTCTATACAAGCTTATTATTAATATTAATATTATTATTATTATCAAGGTTGAATCGAGTTCCTTGAAAGATCTGCTTTACAAATAAAAACTGTCTACATGTGAGACTGACCGTTGAGCGGCCCGACCAAGCAAGGAGGCAGAGTCAAAACGTCCCAAATACAACCCGGTGTGGGCATTTACTAAAATCATGTGCACATACAGTAGTTCACAGCCTCAATCCTGCTGTTCTCCCTGAACACATCCTGCAGCCACAAGGATCTCACACCACATTACAAACAGGAAACACAGAGCCTAAATACCCACAGACTAATCAATCAACAGGACACAGGTGAGGGGGGAGGAGACAACACAGGGCACCAGGTGAACACAATCAGCAGCAACAGACATGGGTGAGGGGGAAACACTTTCAAACTAAACCACATGTACAATATTACAAGGCCCGAAGCCATCAGTCCACAGTGACGAAGTTACCTTTGTCACATCATCCTAAAATGGAGAGACAGTAAGAACTTGGATGACAACTCTATGTGATTCCTCTCTGCCCTCCTGTCCCACTCTCTCTCTCTCTTCCTCACTGTTTCTACACTCGTCCTCTGTGTGTCTGTCTTTGCAGGCGTCCCTCTCAGTGGCTGGCTCCTGGAGTCACTGCTCTGACCCGAATGGTGAGCAGCAACTCCACCCCGATAATAACGAGGGCCCCGGAGCCCCAGGTAGAGAGAACACCAGAGTCAGAGAAAGAGCTTGAGACACTGGAGATGAACGACAGACCCAGACCACTCAGGTACAAAATACATTTAGTGATTGTTATTAGGGTGGGCTTATGTTTTTTTTTTGAGTCGCTTTTTAAAAGCTTTGAAAATAACTATTTTACATTTCCATGCATTTGGGGTTGAACTCACCATTTCATTCATAGATTTGGGGGATCATATTCTCAATTTCTGTGTCAGCACAACATATTTCAAGATTAGTTTGAGAGGGGAAATTGGGGATGACATAAACCCAGATTCAAAACTCAGGCCACTGCAGTAAGGACCCAGCCTCATTACAGGGCATTACTGCTCTACAAGGTGAACTACCTGGGTGCCACTCTAATTCAAAGATAATATCACATTTTTGGCCATAATGTTCTGGGATTTAAAAAAAAGTATTGATTGGCCTCATGTTAAAGCATCAGTTTAATGTACAAATTAAAAGATGGAAAGAAACATATCTGCATGGGTGTGGCATTACAAAAAGGTTAAAGTAATAACTTGAATATGAGCTTCAATAAATGAAACCCACCTGAATTTCCTAGGGCATATCTCAAGTTGTGGTCTGTTTTTTAAAGATTTATTTCCCCATCCAAGAACATCAGTGGGTGTAAGAGACACCAGAATAGCTGCTTCTATATTTTCTGTCTTTTTAAAGATGTTGATTGGTGACTCACCAGATACCCTGCATTGTGACTCATCCAAGATTCAGATAAATCATATGTTGTGGATGACGTTAATGTTTGTGGTCGGTGTATATGTAAGCAATGTTGGCTGAGAAGTTCTCTGCGGTGTGTCCTCAGGTCGGTGCGAACGCTGTGTGATCACTCTGCTGGAAGAGGGTCGGAGCTCAGCTTCTGCAAAGGGGAGGAACTGGTGGTGTTGGGAGGAGTTGATCAGGACTGGATCCGCTGTCGTCAGGGAGACAAAGAGGGGATGGTACCTATCGGCTACACCTCCCTCATCATGTGACCTCAGTGCCATTACTGCTGCACTCAATAAGAAAAACCAAGAAAAAAAAAATATTTTAGGCGAGTGTTGAGAGGTTATGGTGAGGCTCCACTACTCTGAAAGGGATATTTCACGCTTGCTCGGTTTGGGTTTGAGTGCAGAACACCATCTGCTCTGCTTTACGTGCATCCGGAGCAATCTGCAGCTCTCTCTCTTTATGAACATATGGGAGTTTCCCCCCCCATCAAAATCCATCTAGTTTGGTAGCATTAAACTAATGGATGATAGCAGCAGGAATGCAGTAGATGGTGTGAAAAAATGACTGAAGTCAAATCTAGACCATTTCATACTAAAAGACCTTTGATCTTGAAGTGAAGTATCCCTTTAAAATGTCTTCTTCTCAATGCCTGCCTTCCGTGTCAGCCACTGATCTGAAAATGATCACAGGGCAATCAACTATTTGCAGATTTAAGAGCTTTCAGAGCTTTCAGATCAGCGTCTGCCTGTCGTCAGAAGGCAATCCGACAGCCTGGTAGTAGCCACTTTAACATCTCGAAGGTAATGGCGGCTGGCAGGTTGTCGAGAGGAGAAAGCATGTGAGAGTAGAGGGCCGTTGCATACTGCGTAGTAATGTAGTGAATTGTAGCTGTGTAGATCTGTGTTCTATTGACCTTTCACCCCTATTGACCTCTCACCTTTATCGCCTGGTTCATGTGTGTTTGACATGTTTCTGCTACTATATATGACTGTATAAATATACATACAAAAAATATATATATATATAATAAGGGTATATAAAATAAGATTGATATTACCAAGATAGATAGAAAGAACGATGAACAAGAGAAGGCAGATAGTAAAACACAAGCAGCAGCTTAATACTGTGGCCACATTGAGGAAGTAAATTATGAAAATACTTTATCTTTACATCTGTAACTTCACACATACATTAAGTGGTTGTCATACATGCCAAAAAAACGGTATATGTGTTTGTTTTAAGTATGAAATCCAGTATCTTCCCTTATGTGTGCTTCATCTATTGTGACATCATATTCATACATTATTAGATTTATCCTCATACCTTAAACACTAAATGCATTGTGATGTGCCATGAATGCTTTGAGTGAATGCCAGAAAATATCACACAGTTCTAGAAGATAATATTTGGCTACAACAATCTGTAGCCAAACTCAACCCGTCCAAAATGTAATGTCCGAGTAAACGCTTCACAACACTTTGCTCAGCTCTTGTTTAACACTATCTGACCTTAGACTTAATGCAGTGAGAACCTCCCAGATGTGTGTAACTCATGACTGCTTCTGTAAAGTCTGTAGGTTTGGTGGCTGGTCTTCACCTCATACCTCAGCTTTGGTATTTGTCTTCACCCTCCCCCCGCCATGTTTGCTCATCATAATCATTGATATTAATGGTAGTGGTGTAAGTGTTGATTCTAATGTTTAAACACATTGCTTTGTGTCATATATTTATTAGTTATTCTCTAGATTCTGCATAGATTACTATGCATATGGTTCAATGTACAACGTTTGTTTTTAAAGTCATGGTTTCGATTTGATGCTGACACCTAAAGCCTAAAAAAAAAAGCTTAAATATATAAAAGAGATTTAACCGGTCTGGCTGACACTAAAGGACCTCTAATTAATTCATTAGGAATGTGTCTTTGCTATAGATCAATCAGGGAAAGCTCAGTTCTTCAAAGTTTCCTAGTGTTATCGTGTCAATGCCATGTAGCATGACATCCCGTTGCATTAAGTCGAACTAGTGCTCATAACGTGTAACTTATGGTCACAATAAAATGCCAACAAACGGATAATACCTAGATGTTTACAAGAAATAAGAATCAGCTGACACATTAAATTGTGTTCATCGTTTTGGTTTTGTTTGTTTTTTTAGATTCTGGTCTAATTGCATTTGTTTGAAAGCTGTTAAAGTGATTGGATGTTCTATTTATTGATCTGGAGGTTCCTGAAAGGAAAAGCTCTATCTGACCCATCTAGTGTCTCTCTATCTATCTGGGTTATTTATGTGTGTACGTGTGTATGAGCTTGTGTGTGTGTGTGAGCGTGCACACAGCAGTGAAAGCAGAGACGAGTGTGAGCACATTGGTGTGTCTGCACATCCTGCACTTTCACCTGTATGTGTATGTGTGTGTGTGTGTGTGTAACAATGAGATGTGTACCTCCCTCTCCTCCTCTTTCTCTCTGGTGTCATGTAGCCCGTAGACATCCCTGTGTCCTACTATTGCATATAGTTCAGTGCCCCTTAGTGTCAGTCACTGTCCACCTCCTGCATGTGCTTGTTTGTAAATACACCAAATAAAAAGATCAGTATAAACCAAACATGGGCAGCTGTTTGAGTCATAATTTAGCACTTAAATGTATGTTTCAAGCCTTTTACAGTTTTTATGTTAAACCATCATGGAAAACATGTCCTGTAATCGGTGCAATCTGAAATGTGACAGAAACGACCTGCATGTGTGTGTGTGTGTGTGTGTGCAGAGACTGTAAAACACTTTAAATACCTGATTACACACTAGAGGTGATTTATATTACTGCTTTGCTCAGATAAAAAAATCCCAGGATGCACTCGGATGTGGTGAAGGGCGTAAAGAGGAGAATACATCTCGGGAGTGAGCTGCAGCCCTCCCCCATCTTGTAACCGTGGGCCTTTTGATAACGTCCTCCATTGTGGGTCATTATGGAGGACAACACTGAGTGAGATATACAACCTAACACCACTAGATAGCACTGTTAGCTCAAGCTGATTAAAATCACTGCAGTAACTTCCCATAACACACACACACACACACACACACATACACACACACACATACACATACACATACACACACACGCGCGCGCACACGCAAGAGGGCCTTGCAATGGATACACAGAGTCTGCAGGGAGAACTAGTAGACATAAAATGCTTTATTATTATGGTTATAGAGGCAAAAGATCTGAGCTGACATTCTATGGCATTGAGTTATAACTGTTTTTTTATGTTTTGTTTTTTGAGATGCACATTATCAGAGGCAACAGGCAAAGGTTACATGTCATGCAAACTAGATAAATAACTCTTTATGTGTACCTTTGCTATAAAGTTAACCATCCACCGGCAATAATGTAGTGCTCTTAGTTAAAAAAGGAAAGAGGAAAAATATACATACAGTATGTAAACAGTCAAAGAAATTGCACTTTCTCGGCTTTTTATTAGAAGCCACACTACTGAAAGAGAGCAGAAATGTAACACTGGCAAAACTATTTCACTGTCACTGATTGTCTGACCAAAAAAAGTCAGTTAAAAAAAAGTTATTTAAATTCTACAAAATAAATCATACAATCATAGTCACTTTTAGGGACAAATTACTGATACATGTATATTGGTCAGCTGTATAATCCGTTAAAAACATGTTAGTAAAATCATGAAATGATTATTAAGTTGTATGTATTATCCCAATAGTATTGTCATGTATAATACTCATTGTACACGCTACTGCTGATAGGAGGAAAGTAGGTCTCTCTCTATGTACATATACATGAAACTAAACGCTTCCACTAAGTGGATTAACCCAATGTTCCTAAAATGTGAACAATCTACTGCAACTGTACAGAAAAATGACCTCCTATCCTCAAATATTCACAACTAAAAAAAACACAAGTCCTTATATAGTCCTTATCAGAGAAGATATTGCTTTTAAAGACTGCATGAGAGTTCACTTAGGTACGTACACAAGACAACATGGCACTTCCACAGAGCATTTGGGGCAAATCAATTCTAGTTCTGATTGTCAATGCTCAGGAGCAAAAACATTCTCAAAGGCAGCCTGAAGTAAACGAAACACTTTTTATCCATCCCTTCCCCAGGAAGCAATACTGAAAATAGTCAACAATAAACATTCCTATCATGAATATACATTTGCCCTTCTCTTTAGCAGACAGTGCTCAAGCTGTCCTTTTTTTCAAAAATAACTTCTTTCTTAAAACCTCATTAGAAATTCTCTTGCAGCAATGCCAAAATTCCTATCACTAAGCCCGCCCCCTCCCCTGCCTATTCACTGGTACATAGCAGACGCTGTCTTGGAAAAGTTAAGGAAAACCTACCACTGTCTCTCAACAGCTTTCACTTCTCCTTGTCTCGTTTCCCAAAGGGGCAATGTGACTTTGAAAGCTTAACGGGTAAAAAGAGGGTTCAATTTTGACCTACTTTGGGCCCAGGCTACATTTTTATTCCCCCAGGCATCTCCTGAGCTCCTCGCGTACCATATATGTCCACTTTCAGTCCGTGACCAATGTCTGTCTTTCCTAGTTTGCTTAAGGTGCCAAAGTAAAAGTGTATGTGTTTATAGTGTGTCCACTCAGCATACATACATACAGTCTTTAGTGTGCTTGATCATCCAGCACTAGTGCAAATTCATATCAGCTGGTCGGTTTCTTCCTTTCATCCGGGACAGTGTATCTCCGTTTCTCTCATCCCTCGCCTCTTGGACAAAAGAAGTGTTGCCATGGTTTCATCCTTGGTGTGATGCCCTTCAGAGTGATCGGTTCACCACACTCATCTGTCAGTGTGTGAGATGTCTTTTTTGCATTTTTCAGCCGCAATAATTCTCCATTCCTCCTCTCCTTTTTCTCGCTTGTTCTCTCTGGCACTACTTATGTTGATAGCAGTGCTGTGACATCAGTTCCTGTCCGTGGTGGCCCTGGTCCCTTTCTCAGAGTGGTCCAACCTACGTAAAACAAGACACTATCAAAAAGACAGTGCATATACATCTCTGAGTCCCTAGTGTTTCTGTATTCGATGCTCTGCATACCTCTCAGTTAGCTTATGAATGCTGCAGGGTCAAAAGTAAATCATTCAGCCGTTTTCTTCTCTGTTCTCTGGTGCAGACCTCTTCTTCTGGTTTTTCTTCCTCTCCCTCCTCCTGTTGTCTGTTCTGGGTTTTGGTGGGCTGTAGTGTACAAGTAAACACAATTAATTGCAAAAGCAGATTTTGTATTGATGTGTTTTGTATGTGGGTAGTGCTTCACTCACACAGGGGCTGGCCGTGAGCGAGCTGGAGGTGTCTTGACTCTGATGGTGGGGGTCACTGCTGATAACCTTCCCCTCAATCCCTGCTTGCTGATCTGAGGGGTCAGAGGTCAAACAGTATTGAAAACAGCACATTATTTTACACATATGTCTGTAATGATGTGATGTTCCGAATGTTCTTTCCTATCTCCAACCAGTCAGTGAGTCTTTGATGGAAATGGTGTGGTTTCACTGTTTTAGGAGAAAGTCTGTGGCTGGATTCATCGACACCAGAGATGGATGATAGAAATGGGGAAACATTTCTGCAGGGTAAAATACTGTGGTTGGAAAACCACTTAGTTTCTGCTGAGTATGATATGGAGAGACAAGCCAAACATGAGGATGACTGTCTGTTAGCACAGCACACACACGCACATCCATGCACACAGAAAAACACACAGCACAGGACACCAGAAGAAATATATACAGACGTAGAAATTAAAAAGTAAAGAGATCAACACATACACGGATGCATTCACGAACACCTACAGGAACAAAAACTAACACACACACTTGCTTCATGGACCTGACTTGATGTGGCTGTCTTCCTCATCATCGGCTCCATCGCAGGACAGACCTTGTGAGTCCCTCCCCTCTTCCTCCATGTCTCCTTTCCTCTCCCTCTCTATCCTCAGCCGGATCTGTCTGTTTCTCACCATCTCCAAGTTCCTCACCAGGAAGACGTGATGTTTCACCACAAAGCTCCTGGACGGCACACAGGGAGAACCATTAGCTCACTTTCATTGGTTCAGCAACAATGCATCAAGTAGTTTCTCTTGACATTTCCATACCTCTCAACACTGGTCAAAGGCTCCAGGTCGAGGTGAGGGTACAAGCCAGCAGTTTCACTAGAGCTCTCCTGTAAAGAAAGAGGTGAAAGTTTTAACACTAATTAGTTAAATGATGACACCATCTGAGATTGGTTATATATAAGCCTTGTTTTACAAGGCAATTCCAGCCTTAAATACAAACAAAATTAGACAAAAAACAGATTACTGTTGCTGTCCCTTGGTACAAGAAAAAGACTGGAGTAATGTAAACTGTAATGAACTAAATCAGCCAAATATTAATACTACTAGGGATTTTGGTCTGCATTTATTATAGCACATAGATCAATGTCTATGTCAAATGTGGTGGTCTTTGGTTGTTTATTGTGTTGTAAGCTAGGCTGCAAGCTTTAGCCATCTTTATAAGGATAAAATATCAAGTAGATTTACTTCGTGTGAAAATCAATGGACCAAAGATATATATTATGAATGTCTCCTTTAGTTTGTAAACAAATGCAGTGTGTGCTGGGGTGTTGGTAGCTCTGAGGAAAAACTGACACAAATCTGTTAGTTTTTTTGCACCAACTATAATACCACAACTAAACTCTAGGCGTGGAAAAGTTATTTATTTTCTCTTTAAAAGTACATTCTTCAATAGAATGAAACAGCCTGGAGGCAGAAGATCTCACCGCTGTCTGATGAGAGGATAAACTCCTCATCTTCAGCCGGCCTGAGTGACAAAGAGAGACAGTAACACAGTCAGTTGCAGTATGAGAGAATGTATCTGATGCATTTACTAAACCTGAAGATAACACATCCAAAACTAGCAAATTGACTCACAGTAACGCCGCTTCCTCTTCAGGGGAACAGCAGGCTGACTGTGAAGCTGTGACAACCCAAGATGAGAATTACATGCACACTCACTCCACATATCTCCTTGTATCATAACATTTTATCTCCAACGATGCTTCAAGTTGACTGTCTAACTTCCTGATTCTGTGTTATAGAGCTCTATAGTACCTGATTGTTCTGCCACAGCCACA